GACACTGAATGCAGGAAGTGATGTAATATACATCACTTCCTGCATTCGGGGACTGAGAGGAGATTAAAGTGAGTTTGTATACTGAACTCCCTTTGATCTCCTGTCACAGAGCCGTGCCGGTCCCGGCCGCATCGGGCACAGCGGATCTCGGGACCGGCAACGGCAGTGACAGCTTCTGATACAAGCTGTCACTGCCGAGATGCTCGATGGCTTGACTGCTCGTCGGGCACCACGTCTGCTCGTCACAGACGAGTGGATTTTTCGATATATATATATATATACACACACACATTTCATATTAATGTGCCACTGCTTTACTACTAAAAAGTCAAATGCAAAAGGAAAAATGCATTGAGGGTCTTTATTGGAAGACATGCCTTCATTTGCAGTCAGCAAGGTAAAGACAGTGAATGTCCCCAGTCGGGACAAAGACAGCAATAAAACCCTAATAGAGGATCTACTCCTTGCACATGATTTAAAACTCAAAAAACAAACAAAAAAGTGACACTTTAAAGAAAGCCAGTTGTGATGGCTGCTTCCTGTCAGACACAAGGCTTTTGTCCCTCTGCAGAAGTAGCTATTAGCCAAATGCTACAAGCAATGCTAATTCTGTAACAGGCAAGTCACGGTCCACAATGCTTTGCATATTAGCTTTTGTTCAACATTATTACCCCTTTTATGAGCAATTCCAGCATTCAACATTGTATATAAGCCCCACAGTGGTAGGATAACAGACGTCATAAAAGATTCCATGAAATTCTTTCTGTAAATTAACTTCAGTCCTTCATAAACCCCCAGGTGTCCACAGCTCATGGTAAAACTTACACTACACAGTCACATTTTACCAAAGTGAACCAACACCTAAATGTTAATATAAAAGTCCTAATAAAGTTCACATAGCACAAAACAGCATTAATAGGAAACTTTTACATACCATAGTTACTGCTGATCTCAGGGTAGGGACTGGATGTCGTGTCCTGCTGCCTTTGCCGAAGGCGATTGGAAAGAGGAGAATATCCTTCTTCATAGGAGGCTTCATTGGGGTCCAAAGAGATTTTGGCACATTCTACAACAATGTCATGAGTTTCCAACCTCTTCCACCTATGAACATAGCAGAAGCAGGCAGGATGAAGTATTTTAATTCAACATGCAACTAAAATACCGTACCACAAATGGTTCAAAGACAAAAAGGAGCACAAAACAGATAAGGTGTTCAGGTGGGCTCTATGGGACACATCGCAAAGTTGTTCCACATTAGTGAAATAGAATTTTAAAATTCACAGACATCTGTTACCAGCAAAAGGTGGCAATTAATTTTCTAATATGGTCTACAACCACTCAGATATCCTGGCACACTGTACAGTAGCTGGTAATGCAGGGAGAAGGGAGAGGGAGAAGAAGATCCACTTTTCCAAGCCCATTGATAAAATGCAGGTAAATTCAAGAGAACTCCCTGGAAAACACTAATGATTTAGCCTTCCCAAGGGGAATATATAAGGCACTGGCTAGGTCATCAGCGCCTTGAGAAACCATGAAGTGCGGTAAAGGAAAGTTTAATTTTGCCCGTAAAGGTCCTTTAATTATTGCAACACAAAATTCGAAAGGGGCCTAAAAGTCATGTTTAAATGCAATCCAAACTGCTGTATTGTAATATCTTACCCCTAGGATAAATTACTAACACAAGGACTGTGATGGACAGTACCAGGAGGTTAGGATTAAAGTGGGCAGGCCCATTGGCCCAAAACAGAGGCTAATTTGCTAGTCCGACAGAATGTTCTGAAGTCGGGACGTGCCATCTATACTGTTAATCACATACATGAAGTGCTGGTTTATTTTATCCCCAATAGCTTCGGGACTAAAGACTCATCTCTTCAGGGAAGCCTATCCCACCTCAACCTAACCACTGAACCTTCACATTCTCACATAATTCATTCCCACAGCTACCTCATGTATCATTTCCCCCTCCTCTTTTAGATTGTAAGCCCTCAGGGGCAGGGACCTCCTTACCATCTTGTCTTGAATTGTATTGTAATTGTAAAGCGCTGCGCAAACTGTTGGCGCTATATAAATACTATGTAATAATAATAATAATAATAATAACAACAATTGTTGAAAACTTGCAAGTTGAGGTTTCAGTTTAAGTGGACTTTTACCCAATTTCACCATAAATTACATCAGCATACAGCTCTGCATGACTATATGACATTTTTATTTTACTTACAATTTATTTTTTCTACTTCCTGGTCCACTGTGGCACAGATGATGTAATAGTGCCCAAGCATTGCATCCTGGGAAGCAGAGCATTGCTGGGAAATCTCATCTGTAATCTCACAAAATCTCAGGGAAAGACATTTTCCTCCCCTGATATGTGCATGGTCACATGCCCTAGTCACATGTGCTAGAGTTCCAGGAAGTAAAGTCTGCCCTAAGTTAAAATGGCCACTGTCAGAAGACTGGAGAAGAAAAACAAAATAAGGTATGCAGAGAATACAAAGCCGACAATGATCTAGAAGTATGCGTTTGTAGATTGTCATTACTAAACATTTCTAAAGGTGCCTTTGTTGTTATTTTGAAGATATGGGTAAAGTTCCTCTTCTAGTGGAGCACAGCAGTTCGAGTTACTCAAGAAATCCTTCCACTTTTTTGGGACTATATTATAATGTAATTTCCCTGACCATACTCTGCTACTGGAGTCTGGAAATATTCCAGCCCTTAAGGCAATGCATATACTTTAAGTCAAGAGTCTATAACAATATTATATTGTTTGAACAATATAAAATATTCACGTTATAAATACCTGCTTGGGTCTAATTCATGGTCTTTGGATCCAGTAACCAGCTCAGGATGAATTCGCACATGTTCCATCATTGGCTAAAAAAAAAAAAAAAAATTACCTATTCTTTAAGATATCTAAAGTCTGAATATGAAGGCCAACCTACAGGTGCTAGCAAGTTTAATCACATGCTGGCATTTAATATCTTGGTATCTCCTGCAATTTCCCTGTGCCACCCAACTAGCATTGTTGTTACTAGGGAGAACCGTAATTTTGGCCGCCGAAACAGATCGGTTAAAAATGGTACTTTGGGCCGAAATTGCGTTGCATCTCTAGTTTTTCTCCTCCCCCTGTGCACTGCTCTGCGTTTGTTGTGACACAGAGCAGCATCGAGCGGGGAGGAGAGAAACTGTCAGGAGGCAGGGCGGGTAGGAGCCCCACTCAGCCTCCGGTGACCGATCAGGATGGAGAGTAGTGTGGGGCAGGAGACAGCTGTCAGAGACCAAGCTTTTCTCCCCCACCATCAGCTCGGCCTCCTATGACAGCTGAAGGTGTCACGATGGAGAGCAGTGTACAAACACTCAGCAATCAGCTGATCACTGACAAGTTTATTCACAAAAGGGTGAAGAGCTTGGAGAAGGCAGGGGAGCTGATCAAGGATAACATAGCCGATTTGGAAAAATTTTCCAATTCAACACAACTATGTTGTCCTAGATTGTTCACTTCTCCAAACTCTTCACTTTTTGTGAATAACCCTGTGAGTGTTTGTAAATAATTGAGGACATAGTATGTTTACTGTGTCCACAATTATGAACAGGAAGTGCTCTACATCACTTCCTGTTCATTCATGATGTGTACAAAAAAAAAAAAATACTCTGTCCTCATGTTATCAATGAACAGGAACACTCAACATAGAGGATTCCTGTTCATTTATAACAGGGGGCACAGAAAAAGAGATTGAGGACTCGTGTCCTCAATCTCTTTTTCCATTTTAAAAGGAGAAATATCAGGGGTCTGTTTAGACCCCTAATATTTCTCCAGAGCCCCTGAAAGTAAACTTAAAAAAAAAAAATATTTAAATAGAAAAAAAAAAATAAACATTGTAAAAAAACGTTCAGAAAAAAATAAGTATTTTCGGTTTTGGTCAGAAAAGTTCATTTCGGGCACCTCTAGTTGTTATCATTTTTAAAAAATGTTGTAACCCCACACCAATGGATTTTCCAAACTCTGGCAATAACACAACAGCCATATTAAACCTCTTTTCTAACGCAGAAGAGGAGCCTGAATGCTATGGACACCACCACCATTTCATCCTTGGTGCTCTTTGCTGGGAGATATAGATTTTCCCAAGCATCCTATGTTACCTTGACTATTTCTTCAAACGTCTCCAGGTTTTCCTTCATGCTGTAATGAGATCGTAGGAAGGACACAAAGTTGCATGGATACATCCCGTAGAGGCGATGAAAGAGGGCGTACACACTGGCATGAAGATGGACGAGACACGTCTCTGCTACATGACCTGCCATAAACAGAAAGCGCATATGTACCAGACCTCTAATGAAGTGTAGGGGAAACACTTTGCATATTAATAAACGGAACATTTTGTACTGGTATCAATGGCCTTTAGAGATTTAAAAAAAACAACAACAAAAACGAGCACGTCCAGTTTCAGTGCAGACCCATTTTTATAAGTACAACTAGGATGTAATGAATCTTATAGGACAAGAATACCACACTACATCTCACATGGTAACCCAACACACGCTGATACATCAATGCAAAGAAGCAATTGTGTGGACAAAGTACAACAGACCACAGCAAAAAAAAAAAATACCCAACCCACTATAACCGCATTACTGAGACAATTCTAAATGCTTGAAATAGGATGTTTGCACTTTAAAGCGCATACTGTATAGTGGCAGAACATGTTTTGACTGTTTGATATGGGTTAATGGGTTACAGCATTTTGCTTTTAATATGTTAAAGACACACTGCATATTATAAGCTCACCCTATTATAGAAAGTCAGAATGCAAAGAAACCTTGTCAAGTCGGTATAAAAAAAAACCCCTATTACATGCTACTCTTTGGCAGCCCATACCTCCTACCTTTTTTCTGTTTCATCACAGTAGCCTTCTAGGTCTCCAGCATTTGACATGAGTGCTGAATGCCCAACTTCCATGCTAATGCTGTGGGATCTTCCTCTGACCCCAAGTCACTACAGGACTCTGCAGTATACAGTGATGTAGAGGTCAAAAGATGGAGCCACAGGGCACAGCAGGGGACACAGGAATCGGACACTGTCAGAATTGTTGAAGGCTGAAGTGTCTGACGTAGGCTGCCACACTTAAGAGCCCGTGCATTATGTGCTCGGCACAGCTGTTGTCCAAAGTAAAAGACATGGGCTGCCAAAGAGAGGAGTATAACAGCACTGCTATTGCAGGGACATTCAGGGAGATGTGCGTTTACAAATCATTTTTGTTCCCCGCTCGCTTTGACTTTACTCACATTTAGGCCCCGTTCTCACAGGAAATCGGCCGTCACATACAGCTCCGTGCAGGGCCGTATCGGGCAGCTCCCCGGAAGGACAGCTGCTGCGTTTGATTAGTACGCAGCCCGTCCTTCTCTGTGGGACTATGCGGTCATACGCCCCCCTACGCTCACCTCAAGTGCAGGTCCATACGGGTGCGGGTTTCCTGGCTCGGACGCAGACAGGATCCATCCCGTCAGCGTACGAGCACTCTCACCCGCATGGACGTGCACTTGAGGTGAGCGTATGACCGCGTAGTCCCACAGAGAAGGACAGGGGCTGCGTACTAATCATACGCAGCACCTGTCCTTCCGGGGAGCTGCCCGATACGGCCGTGCACACAGCACAGAGCTGTACGTGCCGGCCGATTCCTGTAAGAGCGGGGCCTTAAGCTTTGCCCTGATTAGATGGAGTAAAGCTTTGACCTGCAATTAGATGGAGTAAAGCTTTGTGACTCTTCAAGGTGGAACTGTAGCCTCTTTTCAAGCCTCTGTATAAAACCTCAGTTGAAATCTGTCTCTATGCACTCTTCCAAAAGATGCATTTTTACAATAGCAATTGCATAAAAAAAAAAAAACACGACTGATCACAATTTCAACTGAAATCATCTGGATCAGAAAAGCATCACCTCACATTTTTAGTGTCAACAGTCTTGTAGATTGGGGTACTTGCCACTGTGCAGTGCCCCCCCCGTAAACAGAAGAAACACTGTTCTGCAGTTCTCTTTACTGTTTTATTTCACTAAATCCACTGCTCATATAACAGGAGTAGATGTTCCCTTTATTCCAATAAAGCGGTCGCCGCAGACTAGGTTGTAGCACGAGAGAAAAGCCTCACACACTCACCTGGATTTTTCAAGCACCAGCCTGACAGGCGCCCAAAAATGTCAAAGAACTCGTGCAGATGCTGTTTCCCGGACTGCGGAATCATTGGCAGCACAGTAATTAACACTAGGACTCCTGTGGTGAGAACCACGACATCTGCGTCTGTCTGTAAAGAAAAATACGCTGTTTAAAAGGCAAACTGGGGCTTAAATTCAGCAAAACACCTACAAGCGAGTTATTCGATATCCCGTCTATCATTACCTTTTGTCCTCAAATTTGCTCCATAAATTAACAATATGCAGCTACACAGAACGTGTAATTTTATTGTATATAACCTCTGCCCTAGAAAAGAAGATGCCAGAAAAATCATCTGTTGGTAGGCAGTGCCCACTGTCAAGGACAGCTGCAGTTACAGTAGCTTGAGATAAGACTGACATGTGAAAGGGATGGGTGTATTGCTGTCAAATGCTCAGGCTCTGCGTCCCTGAAACTAGCCAGAGGGTCAGAACCTTTTGCTTCGCTGACACAGAAGCAGAGAACCTTTTCAATACAACAAGAGTAAGTTTACATTTTGTGAGGAACATCTTTGATGTTGATGCTTGATCACAAAATGAGTAATAATAGGGTCAGAGATTTCTACAGTGTTACTTTCTGCCCCCTATGAATATACCGTACATATTTGTCTGTAGGAACCAGAGAGTGCCTTCCCTAGTGCAGTAATCCTTTATTTGCATGAATAAAAAGTACAATGGACCCCAGCTGTGCCCAAGATCCACATAATGCACGAGCTGAATAGCGTGCACGGGCGCCAATTGTACAGTTATACTTTTTATTCATGTAAATAAAGGATTGCTGCACCAGGGACAGTGCTCTCTGCTTTCTGTTTACTCACTAAATGATCTCTGACGTCTCCCTGTGGGAGGATTTTCCTTCGTGCTTCTGGCTGAGGCTTTTGGAGCTGGTGGACGATTGGCTTTATTGTCACAATCATACAGGGTTTGAAGACACTATTCTCTTTCATTTTGTTACTTCTGCTTTGGCAGAAGACAAAATCTCTTTTTTTTTTCTTTTTAAGATTTAGAGTTGTGAGGGGTTAAAACCATTGTCAGTTATTTATTGCTGTCTGTGTCCCTGGTAAGGAGATACTCTCTCTCTCTCTCTCTCTCTCTCTCTAACTGTCCCAATCACCAATGTCTCCTGGAATTAAAGTGAGGGTAAATCCCAAAAAAATCGATTTGCCAACAGAACAGATAGAGAGGAAATCTTCCAATAGGGACACTTGTTTAGGCGACAAGCCAAGAGGGGATTTCCCTCACAATAGAAAGGATAGCCCTTCACTTCCAGATGAGGCCACAGTGTCCCTAAAATGGCAGCAGTTTCAATCCACTCATACTATTTCGTAGGGATGCACTGATACCGTTTTTTCGGTATCGAGGAAGAGTACCAAATAGTTTTTTTTCCAGTACTCGCCAATGCCGAGTACGGGTGCCATGTGCCCCGATTAGCAGGAAGTCGGGTGGCGGATCGTGACCCGTCGCCCGGCTTCCTGATTGACTGTGAAGCCGGTGATCTAGCGAAAGAACACCGGCTTCACTTGCCAAGGGTGCCTGGCTTCCTGACCAATCGTCAATCAAAAGCGAGTCATGAGGTGTAATCCAGCTTCCTGATTGGCTAGGAAGCTGGCTTCACTTGTTGCTAGGCCGCCTGTCTTCCTGACCAATCAGGAAGCGGGGCAGCACTTCATGACCCACCTTCCTAATTTGGCTAGGGAGCTGGATTCACTTGTTTCTAGGCAGCCTGGCTTCCTGACCAATCAGGAAGCCCAAAGTTCCAGTATCTGAACATACGCGTAGTTGCCCAAATACTCGGTATCGACACCGATGCCAATACCAGTATCGGTATATCGCTTCTATTTTCCAAATGGAAAAATAAGTTTTGCCTTTAGATATAATTTAGGTTTAGGCCTAAGCCCTCTACATGTAAAAGGTAGACATAGAATATTCAGTACCTTGAGACACTTCAGTAAGGACTGCAGAACTGGTGCTTGTGACAACTTGTGCTTCCAAGATGGCTGACGGCGAATAACATGGCCCAATAGTGTCAGGGTTGATAAGCGGGTAGCAGCTTTTCCTAAATACTCATTTATCTTGTCCAAAAGGTGCTGTTATAGAATAGAATAACAGTTCATGGTATTACCATAATATTCACATAGTTATAGTACTGTAGCTGTAATAAGAGAACATTTTCAGAGAAATTGCCCCTATTCTTTTTGCCCACTCGTCTGACCTAACAAATTCCACTCTACCCCCTCCACAGATGCATACTTACTGAGCTCAGACACCCGGGTTTCCTTTGTATGTTGACATCCCCCACCAAGGTCCTCTCTCCTGGCTGCACCTGTACAATAGAGCCCTATGGAAGTCTATGGGGTTTGTATCCTTGCATCTCCCAGCTGGGAGACCGGTAGATGAGTCCCATAGACGTCTCCCCATTGCAACCAGTTGGTTGCTATAACAACCTTTGGGACTCGATCCCCATTGCACCCTATTGCAACCACAGTGCTCCCAACTGCAGCTATTATGTTGCTATACAGCCTCCCGGGCAGTGTAGTAAAGTTAACTAACTGTTAAACTGGATTCCAGATAAGTGGAGCAGGGACCAGGGTGAAAAGTTTGTTGCGAGTCAGGTAACCTTTTCAATTTTTTGTGGAAAAGTTAAACTAACCCTCAAAACCGAATACACAAAGTTCTAAGCAGATGGGGATCTCTCTTTCCAAAGGATTAGTATACTTTACAGCACATATTAGGGATGCACCGAAACATATCGGCCGAAAATTGCACTTTTGCCATAATGGCCAAAGTGCCATTTTCTGCCCGATATAGGGGTGCATCCATTCTCTCTCTCCTCCCCGCTGGGTGCTGCTCTGTCACAGGACGCCAAGCGGGAGAAGAGTGCTGTGAGCGGCCAGCGTCTCTCCTCCCCGCACCTCCCAGCCTTGTCACAGATCAGAGGAGAGCAGCGTGGGCGGAGACAGCCAGCTCCATCACAGCAGGCTGAGCTCCGCTCGCTCAGACTCCTGTGACAGCGTGTCAGGATGGAGAGCCAGGTACAAACACTCAGTGATCGCTGAGTGTTTGTACATAATTGAGGACAGATTATGTTTACAGTATCTACATCCCCTCCTGTTCATTCATGATTGTGGTTATACTAAACACACAATGTCCTCAGGTTATGAATCAACAGGAACACTCAGTATAGAGGATTCCTGTTCATTTATAGCAGGGGCTGCAGAAAAAGAGTTTGAGAACACAGAGTCCTCAATCTCTTTTTCTATTTTAAAAGGGATCAGGGGTCTGTTTAGACCCCCAATATTTCCCTGAAGCCACTAGAAAGTAAAGTAAAAAATAAAAATGTTTAATAAAAATGAATAAAAATACATACTTAAAAAAAAAATAGAAAAAAAAACATTTTTGGTTTCGGCCTGACTTGTTTTATTTCAGTTTTGAAATTTTAATTTCGGTGCACCTCTAGAAAATATCAAGGCTTACCTTGTCGTGGGGCTCTTGTACCATAGAGAGGATTAGCATTGCTTGTTCAGAATTGGTTTCCAGATAATGATCCACCAGATTGTTTACTAGGACTGGATTACGGTCTAGGATTGAGGAATAAACAGTGGATGAGGTGGGGTGGAAACCGATCAATTCAAAGTCATTAGCCTTGATAACAGGTAAGTTTCCAGGACAAGTGAAATAACCCACGCATTACTCCTCACACTATACAAACAGCTGAAACATACATAGGATCCTTTATACCTGCCAAATCATATGTAAAGCAATACCCTTGCTAGCCTCAACCACCCCCAACCCCCATATTGTGCCAACTAGCTGCTCTGTTTAAAGCCCATATCTGGGCAAAATAAAAGCCCACGGTACTCCCCAGCGATATTTCTATCATCACTTTAACCCCTTCATGACTGAGGCTTTTTTTCATTTTTTGTACCCATGTTATATCTTTTAATTGCAGCACATTCTGTTAGTGAACAGTAATCACCAAAAGAGATACTTGTGACCAGCAAGTAGCATTAAGAATATTTATAATCTATCCGAGCAAAGCAAATTTTCCCCCACAAAAAGGGACTTAACCCCTTCGTGACGGGAGACGTACGTCCCGTCACAAAGTGGCTATATGACACTGTACGTGCCGAGTTATATTAGCCTCTGTAATGCTGGTAACTGCTGATTCTCAGCAGTTCCAGTCATTAATGAATGCCTCACTATTGAGACATTCATTAAGGAAATAGTTAAGCTTTTGTAAAAGCTTCTTTCCTTCATTAATGAAAGAATGAAGACTTTACATTCAGATACGGGTTCGCTAAATAGCGATCTCGTATCTGACAGCTGAAGATAGCAGAGAGGTAGCAGTGACTTACCTCTCTGCTATTCGTTTTGACAGCTGTATAGCCTGGCCCCGATGTTAAATGATACATTTCAAGCACTAGATACAAAATGTATTTCTTGAGTGAAATGTATCAGTTTTGATTGTCTAGGAACGATCAAAGACCTTAAGGCCCCCATTCACACCTAGGCGTATTGTAATATGCGCGACCGTCACGCGTTTTTTTACCGCGATTCGCGGTAAAAAAGTCGCGCGATTCCAAAGGCTACTTGGCAGTATCCAAATGGAAAACGCCCTACAAAACAGCCCAAAGTAGTCCCGGGACCTTTTCAGGCGTGGGCTGTTTTGTAGAGGTGGGAACGAGGGCATTGACTACAATGCAATTTATATTTTTGACCGTTTTGTAGAGCGTTCATCGAGCGTAGAACGCCCTACAAAACGGTCAGGTGTGAACGCAGCCTTAGGCCCCATTCACACTGAGCGATTGATCGCGTGGTAATTCCCGCGATATACAGCGGCTATTTACCTCTCTCCAATGCATGGCAATGGGGCCTGGTCTGTCGCTGGTCGCTACAGCAGGACCCTTTTTGGAGCAGATTTTGCCGAGATTCTAGCTTGCTCAATGCAAGCATTTGCACGATTATCGCGCGACAAACGAATTTGCGAATCGCTCAATGTGAATGGGGCCTTAGTGAGATCTGATTCTGACATGCTGTCATGATCAGTCTCTAAAGTTATTATTAGCTGTTCCTAAGTTTGGAGCAGCCTGATCATAAACTAAAAAGTTAATTTATTAAGCAGTCAGTGATTGCTTCATATAAACTGGCCAAATTTTTTTTATTTTTTTACACTTTGTAAAAAAAATAAGTGTAAAAAAAAAATTAGGAAAATAAAACTTTTATATATAAATATATTTTTATACTATAATTATTATTTAAAAAATTCTAATTCCAGCATGTCTTTGGATTGTGGGAGGAAACTGAAGTACACAGAGGAAGCCCATTCAAGCACAGGGAGATAGCATCCTAACTGGGATTCAAAGGAGGGCCCCCCGGTAGTACAAGGCAGAAGTGCTAACCACTAAGCCACTCTGCCTCCCCCACTATCTGTTTAATGGGAAGAGCATAAAAACCTCAGTGTTCGGGCCTGTGTTGACGGGGTTTTTGTTCACATCAGAAAAGGTTTATTCAGTTTAGGAGGTCAAATGAACCTGTCAATTATCTCTAAATAATCTCAGAAGCGTCTCACATTGATATCAAATGCAACTAAACCTGAAAGCAAGCTGGATTTGCCCACTGACACTAGCTCATAGTCTTGCTTTTTTCCTTCTAGCGAAGGCACTGGTTTGTTTTCTGTGATATGTCCTAGAAACCAACTGGAATACATGCACAAAAGACTACACATGCAACACACTGTACCAGTACTGAGGTGATCTCTTATGAGCCTGTGGATTCCATCCAGTTCTTGCAGGTCTGGAGACTCAAGCAGATGGAGATGCTCCCACACATTGATTTGTTGGGCCATACTGCTGGACAGGTGTATGTGCTGGTGACAGGACACGGAGGCTAAAGGTCACAGCAGGGTGCTCATCTGTGCCTCCAACCTGTGAGGGAGAAAAGGGAAACAAAAATAAATTTTCAGCAGTATGATAGACATTTCAAACCATGAGCTAACCTTTACAGAGAGTTCTTGTATTTATATAGAATATATACCGATATTCAAAGTACAAAAGTTAATCTATACGAGTCCCTGTCCCAGAGAAGATTGTTGTCCCATTTCCCTGCTTCGTTTACTCAGACACAAGCCAACACCAATTTGATTAGACATTAATTTACCTCCTAGAATGATTTCAGGTTCCCACCAAAGTTATTCTTATATAGCTGTGAGGATCATTTAACTGTACAGGCCTCACCTTCACTTAAAACCACTTAATTAGCAGGACCAACCATGCCAGAAATGACCCAGACAAAAAAAAAAGGGGTACCATTCAGGCTACCAATCCCATCAAATCTTAATCATTTGCATAACATAAGCCTAAAAGAAGGCCATTGAACTTATTGTGCCAAAGCACAGTGAAATAAGCAAGGACATAAAAGACTGAAAAGTAGTTATGCCTGTTCCAGAGCATGAAGCAAAGGGATTCTCTGCTCTGGTGGTTGAAGTCCTCCCTCCTCACCAGGAATGGAACCTTTCGGGCTTGTTCACACCAAGCGCGTTCCAGAAGCAGAGCAGTTACAGACCGGATCAAAACTGCATCCAATGTATTCCAATGGTACTTTGTGCTCTAGTTCACTCCGCAGCATTCAGTTCAAGAGCATGTAAAAAAAAAATGCAGCAAGCCCTATTTTACCTGCTCTGGAACGCTCGCAAACGCATCAAAAACACCCTGAAAGCACATTAAAAAAAAAATCCAGACCTGAACTAGGGCTGCAACAACTAATCGGCATAATCGATTATAATCGATTATTGAAAAAGTTGTCAACTTTTTCAATAATCGATTAATCGGCTTCGGAGCATCAAAAAATGCAGTATAACACACTGCACTGTTTGTGCAGAAACTCATGCAGATCTGGTCTGCATTTGGTGTGAATAAGCCCTTCTGCTGCACTGCTGGAAGATTGCCAGCTCCTAACAAGTAAACAGAGATTCAGGCAATCCATCCCTCCTCAGGGTCAACCAGCATAGATCAAATTGCACATGCCATGGCAGGGGCATATGTCCATCATCAGGGAGGCACCTGAAGTCAAAAGGCCACGCCAGAGATAGCTTACATTCCCTGATGAGTCTAGAAACGTGTTCCAATGATAATCGCAACCTACATTCCAAGAGCGGACAAAAAAAAATAATTGAAGACTTCCTCTAAGACTGCAAAGGTTAAAGTACTCGGTGCATGGACATGTCAGTGTCCCGTTACAATAAGAAGCTCATGACCAGATCTAGAGATCCCCTATCTGACAGTGGTGACGTGCCCCGATAAAGAATCTTCAGTCTGGTTTAAATGTTGTTGCCTCAAAACATCTTTATAGGTCTCTATAAAGCTAGTAGCCGCACTCTCCACTAGGGCTGCAACAACTAATCGACATAATCGATTATAATCGATTATTGAAAAAGTTGTCAACTTTTTCAATCATCGATTAATCGGCTTCTGATTGGTTGGCCCTCTTCACGGCTCCACACACGCTGCACGCCACACCTCCTCCCCACCTCACGCTCGCCGCTGCCAGACCCGCCCGCCTCCACCTCACGCTCACCGCCCGCCCAAATCCACGATCGGCACAGGGACGCGGTGAGAAGTAAGGAGGAGCAGGTGTGGGCGGATGACAGCCGCCGATAGACAGGTCCGATCTTGGAAACAAGTTGCTGGAAGACTGCTCAGGTAACCCTGCACTCCCACCCACACATGATGCTCTATAATGTATTGCTGGGATTGGTATTCCTCTATAGCTGATGGTACATTGTGCTGTATATTATACAGAGCAATGTACCATCACCTATAGAGGAATACCAATCCCAGCAATACATTGTACACTGTATGTATAATGTATTGCTGGGATTTGTTGTACTCCTATATAGCTGGTGATATTCTGCACTGCGCTGTATAGAGGACTACAAATCAGGGAATAATACATTATACAGCACAATGCAGAATACCACCAGCTATAGAGGAGTACAACAAATCCCAGCAATAGTACATTATACAGTGGTGCAATGCCGAATACCACTAGCTATAGAGGACTACAAAACCCAGCAATAGTACATTATACAGCGCAATGCAGACTACCGCCAGCTATAAGGTACTTTTGCTGGGATTTGTTGTATTCCTATATAGCTGGCGATATTCTGCATTGCGCTGTATAGAGGACTACAAATCAGGGAATAATACATTATACATAATTTTTTCTGTTTTACTTCCACCGCTCCAAGCTTGCTCCTGTGATGGACTGCAATCTCAATACAAACTAGTAGTCCCATCACGGGAGCCATTTTTTAAATTTTATTTTAGTTTTTATCAGATTAACCGATTAATCGAACTTAATAATCGGCTAACTAATCGATTTTGAAAATAATCGTTAGCTGCAGCTCTACTCTCCACCCTAGCAGCTCCAAACTGGTCTTGCTGGCTCTGGTGAGCCTACTTAAAAAAGGTGCTAAAATCTCCACCATAGAGTTTCTTTCAGTCGGACTGGCATGAAAGTCTCACCCTTAGCACACTTAACTGCTCATTTTCCTAGCTCTTTTTTGCATTGTTCTGCCCTTTTACCTTTAGAAAAAGAAGTATCCTCATTAGGGCTAACTAACGATTATTTTCGACTAATCAGATAAAAAAACAAACCCATCTTTAAATTTAAAATAAAATACACAAATGTTGTGTTACAAACAAAGTAGTTTACTTCATAAAACTGCATGCACAATTTTTTGCAATCGCACTGGAATGCAGAGCATTGCAGGAACCTCGCGTGCCAATGCAGGCAATCGCACTGCGGGCGGGAGAGGCGTGTTTGGGGTGCCATTGAAATGAATGGCACCACAATGTATCTCCCGCAGCCGAATTGGTCAGTCTGAAACTAAAAAATGACTTTTTCCACCTTTTATAATTTTTCTTAAAGTACTCATATGTATCCTATTAAGACATTTGAGTTCGTTTTATGGATTTAATATAGACTGAATTGAAAAACTCAAACCCAATAGAAATAACCACATTTTATTTTAAATAACACACACACGAACACACACGAGTGGCCAGATTATTATGACCACCTGACGTTTGTAGGCAAATTAGCTATAATTTTGCTCTGAAGTTGCTAGAGGGTCAGACCATTATAAATAGGGAAGCGGGTTGTTTACCATGACAGTAGAAGTGATTTGTTCCTGAAGATACGGGGAAACAACGCGATTTAACAGCCTTTGAACGTGGGATGGTTGTTGGCGCTTGGAGCCATGGAGCGAGTATCAGCAAAACAGCAGAATTTGTTAAATGTTCAAGAGCAGCTGTTGTTAAAGTGTTTAAAGACTGGACTGTCAGCCGAAAATCTGGGTCTGAACGTGCGAATTGTGGCCGTCAGCGACTAGTCAATGTTAGGGCAGAACGGAGAGTGGCAAGACTGGTACAAGACAACAGAAGGGCAACAGTGCATCAAATGACTGCAGATATTAATCAGGGATCCCTTCAAATGATCTCTGAACGCACTGTTCGCCGTACACGGCATCATATGGGATATGTAAACCGAAGGCCTGTTTGAACACCTTTGATGTCTGCAGTTAAGATAAAACGTCTCCAATTCGCACAGAAACACAAGGATTGGACAGTGGAAAAAGAAAAAAAAAAAGTCATGTGGTCCGATGAATCACGTTTCCAGTTGCATCATGCAGATGGCAGAGTGAGAATTTGGCGGGAACAGCATGAAAGCATGCACCCCACATGCATGAGTACAACCCTTCGAGCTGGTGGGGGCAGTGTTATGTTTTGGGGCATGTTTTGGGCCCTTTAATTCGTGTGGAACAACGTCTGAGTAGCACAACATACCAAAGTATCGTTGCTGATCAAGTTAATCCTATCATGTTGATGGCGTATCCCAATGGAGATGGCTTCTTCCAACAAGACAATGCGCCATGCCACGGTGCTCATATTGTGCAGGAGTGGTTTCAAGGTGCTTAGGTGGCCCCCACAATCACCAGATCTCAATTGAGCATTTGTGGGACAAAGTTGAAAGAGCCATCAGGCAGCTGGCTCCACAACCATCAAATCTCACAGAACTGGACAGCGCTATTCATCAGGCGTGGTGTCAGATTCCTCGCATCACCTTTCAACATTTTGTGGAGTCAATGCCAAAAAGAATTACAGCACTATTGAAGGCAAAAAGTGGCCCAACAAAGTACTGATAGGTGGTCATAATAATCTTGTCAGTGTATACATCAGTTTAGAGCTAGCCATGAATCTTGGCCCAAGAATTATTGCTCTCACTCTGGTCAACGCGGCAATACCCGACATGTAGCACAATGGTAATTTTTGTACGTAGGTGCACCAGACTTTTTTTTTTCTTTCTATTGTTACATTTTATTTACCCTTATTTGGTTTAAACTTTTTTTTTTTTTTTATTAACTTCATTGCTATTACATGGAGATGGCTCACAGGCCCCCTTTATGATAGCACATTGGAAATGACAGGCTCTCTTTACAATGACATAAGGGTCACCTTTTAACTTCAAAGGAGCTATTTAAGCACACATCACTTGAATAGCTTCAGCCAGGGAATGATAACACAACAGGCAGTGAGTGTGTGAAATAGCCAATAGCAGGCTGGCTATTGCAGCTACCTACTCTTTGCTGTCAATCAGCAGAGGGGGACCTAAAAGGAGAAAGTTCTTCTTCAGGTCCTCCTCTGTTGATAGAAAGCAGCCAGCTGCAATAGCCAGCCTGCTATTGGCTATTCAAATTGCAATAGTCATTAGCAGACTGTCTATAGCACACACCCACTGCTTTCAAGCCTCTCCGACCCATCCAGCAGCACCGCACTGTGTGCTGACCCACCCTCCTCGCTGTCTCAGAGCGGCCCTGGTCCCTGAAAGCGAGTCTGTGTCCCCTCCAATGCCCGCTGCCTCTCCT